TAATTTTTCGAATTTTTCCAATGTCCAAAGTCCGGACCAAAACTAAAGCATAGGTTACATTATTACATGTTGAAAAAAATTAATAACAAGTTTGTTATAACATATTTATGGAACTAATCCATATAATATAAAGTGTACATGAAAAAGCAAATTAAGGAAAATCTGTATACCCCATGTTATATTATTATTATCTCATTCTCTTCTTTGAATGCGCCGTCGTCACTAATTTCATCGATCTTTTTACAGACATAAACGAAATGAGAATCTGGATCTTCGTAAACGTAATCTGGAGGGAGTAGACCTTTTTCTGTGATAGGTACAGGCTCGAAGATTGACTTTGAAGCAGTCGATCCATCGGGCCTTTCAAAGCCCGGTCTAGCTGCACATAGGAGACAAGGATATATATAAATTATTACCATGGATACATTTTCAAGAAAATACGAGCAAAATTTTAGCGTTGCGAAAACGAAATTTAAATATTAATATTTTCGATTTCCTAAGGTGAAAATGGTGAAAATGTCGCTTACGTATAATGTATAATTCGATTTTCCAATTGTAAACCGGCCGGTTTATATGTAGCATCCGCACAGTAGGATCACCGTATGTTATCTGCCAAAAAAATAAAATAAATAAAATCTAATGTCGAACTGTAACTTGATTAAACGAACAAGACGAAACAGAATATAGTTTTAGGCATTAATTTACCAACATATACACTCCTCCAGGTTTAAGAAGCCTACAGATGAAAATTGAAAGAAAAAAAAGTTATTTTCGACAGAATAAAATTCAAAAAACTAAATTCCTTGAAATAAATAAAAATAAATCGAGATTTTTTTTTTTTTTTTTTTGAATTTATGAGGAGCACTAGAAAATCTATAAATCCTAGAACCTGCTTACTTCCCCCAACATTTGAGAAGCACTAATTGGAGCATCGGTACCACACTTTATATCCAACGAACACATAAGGAAGACGACGAAAAAGTTAGAAGATTAAATAATGAATATACAAAAAGAAGAAAAAATAAATATAAATAAACTCACCATCAACGAATCAAGAGTCCCTATTATGAGATCAGTCGGTCATGCAAAAAAAATTAAAGCCAAATATGTTATGGATCGAAATAAAAAGAATTACAAATTAAAAAAGAATTGCATAAAGATAGGATATATATACACTTACCTTTATCTATGACGCTATCAAACGAATCGTCGGGGAAGAAACTCATATCTCTAACATCCATTTTCATGTCTGGAAAACTCTGTAAGGACACATCTACGAACAGATTTTCCGATACTTTTCATAATTAAAAAAAAAAAAAAAAAAAAAAAATTACTCTGTTTTGAAAAGGATACATTTCAATTGAGGTATGCCCTCGTTCTTCTTTCTCATCAACTCAATCGCAACAGATGAAATGTCGATGTTCATTATATCTTCGTAACTGTCTTTAACCATGTCCTCCGAGATAACTGTAGAGACAATTTTTGTTATTAAATCCGAAACCCGAGAAAAAAAGCAGCCTAATCAAGAATGAACAGAAGTGGCTCAAAATCCCCACCAAATGAAAAAAAAGACTTCACCTTTATGAAATTAAATAAACCGTCACATACACAAAAACTAATCGTAACAACTGAAACAAATAAAAATTCAATCTTTTCAATAGACGTAAGGTAATTCAAACTTAGCACCACAACTAAAAGATCAAAATTTTAATCTTTTCAATAGACGTAATTCAAACTTAGCACAACAACTATAAGCTAAAAAACCAATCTTTTCAATAGATATAATTATAACATAGCACAACAACTATAAGCTAAAAATTCAATCTTTTCAATAGACATAATTATAACATAGCACAACAATTATAAGCTAAAAATTCAATCTTTTCAATTGGCATAGTTCAAACTTAGCACAACAACTATAAGCTGAAAATCCAATCTTTTCAATAGACACAATTCGAACTTAGCACCGCAACTATAAGCTCAAAATTCAATCTTTTCAATAGAAATAATTTAAACTTAGCACAACAACTATAAGCTTAATTATTTTCATAAATAATAATAATTTTATTTTTATTTTTTTTTAAGCCAAAAGTCGCGACTTAGGCGACTATAAGCTCAAAATTCATTTCAATAGACATAATTCAAACTTAGCACAACAACTACAAGCTCAAAATACAATCTTTTCAATAGAAACAATCTAAACTTAGCACAAAAACTACAGGAGAACCTCGATAAATTAATAATCTCACTTAAAATAATAATTTCTTCCGGTCCCGACTCAGTGAAAACATATTAAATAATTAGTTCAATAATTTAATATTTTGCTAAATTAATAGAATTTTGCTACGCCCAACTGCATTTATTTATAGAGGTTAGGTTTAACTCTATTACCTAAAAATTCAATCTTTTTAGCATAACAACTATGAGTTCAAATTTCAATTGAAATAATCCAAACAAAGCACAACAAATACTTTACCAATTTCAGAAATCTTAAAAAAAAACAGAAAAAAAAAAAAGTTTCAAAACCAGAAAGAAATTATATACCGGCATTTCCGCAGCCAACCATAAGCACGCGAGAATTGGGGGAGATGTATTTACGAATAAATGGGCGGAGAGACGAGTAACGCTGGTACCAATCGAAGGAGCCGGACTCCGCCTCCTGTACGTAGCGGGTGTCCCAGTACATGGCGTCGCCGTAGTTGTAGGAGTTGCACGCCGACACGTCCCTCGACATCGTGGCGGCGGCGGCGCGGCGGAGATGCGGTGGTTTTGGGGGTTTTTAATAGTTGGTGGGGCAATTGGGGGTTTCAGTTTGTTGAATCTGTTTTTGAGGGGGGAGTATAAGTGAATTCAACGCTTTGTCTTTGCTTTGGAGATAAAACTATGAATTAGATGAAGGTACAAGTTTTGATGCACGGTGTACTGTGTGTTGAAGAATTAGCTGAAGGTACAAGTTTCGAAGCGTGGTGTACTCTGTGTGTAGAAGTTTCTGATTCGCAGTTTGATACGGACCAAATTGTCCTCATGGGGTTTCCTAATCATTTATTGGGCCGTTGATTGAGTTTTCACTTGTATTTGGCCCAAAGTTATATTAGGCCCAAGAAGAGGAGTTAGGGCAAGTTTGCTTATCTCTTGCCCATCAAGTATCCTCACCCATAAATAGGAAGTGACTCTCAACTTATCATTTTCCATGCTCTCTCTAAAATATCACAATTGATTATCTCTCGATAAAAAACTGACTTGATTGTCGGAGCTTCTACGCCGGGAAACCCCTCTCGGCGTTGCAGGTACCCCTCCGGCGGAATCCCCGACGAACTATCATCCAAAATATCTTCCAAGGGTCCCACGTCATCGTCTCGACCATTTAGGAGAAAATCAAGTGGCGCCGTCTCGACGAACTATCATCCAAATATATTAATTATTATATATATTAATTTAGTTTTATTCCCCTTTTTTGACCCAACATTTATTAATGTTGCAATATTTTTCAAAATATATTTCCAAAATAATTTGTACAAGTTTAGTCTCTTCCAAACATGGCTCTAGAACATAAACAAACATCGTTTTATTTTTCAAAATTTTAGATATTACAAGTAGGGTGTGATGCATTCGGAGTTGGAATTTGGAGCTGTCTTGTTTCGATCACGTTTTTATAATTTGGAAATTGGAATGGATTTTTCAACTTTTGTCAAATTGAATATTTCAAATTTTAGGATTATTCGAAATTTCAATATTACATAACCGGACACGAATCAAATAGTACCGTCAAAATCTCAAACTTTCGAAATCCTGAATTAAAAAAAGAAAAATACAAAGAAAAAGAAAAAAATATAAACCAATTTTTTTTATTAATATAATATTTTATCACCATTTTTGAATTGGAATCAATTAGCATCCGTGACCCAGTAACTTATCCAGATCAATGTCCAGTCCGATTTTCAAAACGTTGCATAATAGTTACGAAGAGTTTTGACACCTAAAAATAAATAAGAATTGAAGAAAGGAAGAAACAAAAGTTCGACAACGACAACGAACGAATTCTACTAGCTTGTAGCGAACCAATGAGAGGGGATATAATGTGTAATCTGGATCATAGGCCGGAAAACTGCACGAGGGGCAAAGGTTGTCATTCTCCAAAAATCCAACAACACAATGGCTATGGAAAGCATGCCCACAAGTACCATCGAGGTGCGATATCTGAGCTCCAATATTGGGACCCCTCGTACAAACCGAGCACACCTTCATAAGCCCCAACCCTTGTTCGACACTCACCACTCTAATTTTCTTTAGTCTCCGAAGAAAACTCTCAAGTCGCGGAGGTTTCGTATACTTCTCTCGTGAAAACATGGATGCCTATAGAACTTGTAACCCTAATTGCAACCCTATTTACGAGAGAAGTATATGAAACCTCCAAGACTTCTGAGTTTTCTGTCCAAACTAACATCAATTTCAAAGGTGGACTAAAATTGTAAAAATGTTGTTGGTTTGATGACTAAAGTCATGGCAAACGAAAAAAATAGGAACTAAAATCAATTTTCGTGTTAAAAAAAAAAAAAAAAGAAGAAGACTTTTTGTGTCCAAACTTACACCGATTTCAAAGGCGGACCAAAATTGTAAAAATGTGGTTACTTTGATGACTAAAATAATGGCATAAGAAAAATACATGAACTAAAATCAATTTTCGTGTTAAAAAAAAAAAAAAGAACCGAAAACACAAACACGTCAATATTCAGAACAAATACATACCACATAAGAAATTAAAGAAAAACGTGAACATCAACAGAAAGAGAGGAAGGAGAAAAAAAATGAGTAAGAGGGAATAAATAAATTAATGGGCTATTATGTCGAGGTCCCAACACAAAGATTTAATTCAAATACGATATTTTATTTTTCATTTTTCGCAAATAAACTCGTCCCTTCAACATGTATTACCAACAAAGACAACTATAATATTTAGAGCAACTCCAATGGAGGCACTAAATGAGGTATCAAACTAAAAAACTACCACTTTGATGCTCTAAAATTAAAAAATTATTCTCCAATTGAGGCATTAAATGGAGAATTATTTTGATACTCAACTACCCCGAGGTGCAAAAATATTCCTTGGAAAATGAGGTATCAAAAATATAACCACTCCATTAACCTATCACAATTTGACACGTGGCATTTAAAAAAAATAATTATTCATATATTTAAAATTTGATAATCTATTTGATGCTCGTGTTTGGAGTGATTTTTTTTTTCAAGAAGTATCAAAGTATTATATCAAGTATCAAATGAATATTTAATGCCCCATTTCGATATCTTCCCATTGGAGTTGCTCTTATGACAAAAGTACCCAATAAATCCAATTTATTATTTTAAACTCTAGTTTAAACTCAATTTTTCCAATTCATCAATTTTGACCAACAAACCAATTTTGACCCATCTCCCTCTCCCTACCCAAGCCTTCCTAGAAGTTTTCTCAATTGTACACATTGTATGAACTTTTTGAAAACTCTAAAGAGTCTCTCCTACTTACTAGAAGTTTTCTCAATTGTACATATTGTATGAACTTTTTGAAAACTCTAAAGAATGAACTTTTTGAAAACTCTAAAGAACCTCTCCTAGCGCTTACATCAAAACGACGATCACCGTCTATCAAAGAGGGGAAAGAGTATAAACAGGGCTTATGCGTATTTCACTATTTAATTTTATAGATTTTTATAAATAAAATGTGGTGAGTTTTCACGCACTTTAGATAATTTTGTTTTCATCTTTCAAAACAAAATTCCAATTGGATAATGTATTATTAGGACGAAACCTTCGAGTAAAAAATCGGCTGCCAGGATGTTGTATCAGTTCAATTGAAGTTCGCCAAATTCATCTATTTATTTATAATTTTTTTTTATAGGCAAAACCGTGGGAGTTATGGGAACGTGCGTTTCCTAATGAAGAATTGATCGAACTGATATCCGATCAATGGAAACGGATGGGTTAGGAGGGAAATGATCAGATATCCGATCAATGGAAACAGATGGGTTAGGAGGGAAATGATCAGTCGAAGACTCTATTCTCGGGTAGGTTTGATGGCTCTGGATAACATGCTGTTTCTAAGTGTTTATCCCTTCTAGGTGGGAATCGACAGTGTTTTGATAGTTTGTTTTTATAGCCACTAACATTACCTTAATGACGAGATTTTCTTTCAAGTTATCAAAGATCGTGGATCTTTGTTTTTCATAACTTTACATTGTGGTTGAATTGAATGATATCAAAAGTTACTGAGTTCCTCGTTGGAGATTCATTCGTTTTTTTTTCTAACGATTGCAAATTTGTCATTCTTTTCTATTATCTTGTCCGCAACTATATTAGGTACAAATAGTCACTACCATCAACCTATATAATTTTTTTTGTCCTTAATTATACAAATCTGGCTTTGAATTTGAATTTGAATTTGAATTTTGGAAATTGGGGTTTAAAAGATGCAAAATTATATCATGCGTGCATAATTGTAATTAATTAAAAACACACACACACCCAATTCTTGAAATTCCCTACCCGATTCTAAAACCTCAAAATAAAACTAAAATAAAAACTCGGACGGCGTCGTTTCACCGATTCCCGTTCGTCCCTGTTTCAACGGGTGGATTATGCTTATCGGACGGAAGTTTTATCCGGCCGATGGAATTTTGAGGCACCAGCTTCAAATTCTCACAGTTGCATATCTCAATCATGAACCCATCTGGGTCTTTGAAGAACAGCTGGTCTATGGCGGTGCCGCCGCCTCCTCCTCCGCCGTCTTCCCCCACCGTCCGCTTCATACACTTTATGTTCATTTCCTTTAGCTTCTGCTCCATCGCTTCCATATCCTCACACTAAACAACACATTTCACCAATTCACATCCAAATTCTGTAAATCCAAAATAATTTAATATATATAAGGAAAATTATATTTGGTCCCTCAGGTTTGCATCAATTTCATATTTGGTCCCCTATATTTCTAAAAAATACATTTGGTCCCTATGTTTCAATAACTTAACGATTTTGGTCATTTCTGTCAATTTATAGTTAGTCTGTTAGTTAAGTCATCGATGGGCATACGCTTAATTCCATTAGTTTTGACATAAAATTTATCAAAAGTGTTGAATTTTCAAAACACGTGGGACAAAATGTATTTTTTGTGAATATGAGGGACCAATTGTGAAATAGTGCTAATGTGAGGGATGAAAACTCTATTTTTCCATATATAGAGAAAACCTGGAAGGAGATATGGTTATCCATGGGGTCCAAACGGTCCTTATCTCTGGGCAGCTTCTCCTCGTCTTTGCTCTGCACCAGGTGAATTCCGACGCCGTAGTTGAAAAGCCACGCGCCGTCGAAGTCGAGTGACTCCGGCCGTTCGATAACCACGAATCCCAGTATCTTTGTGTAGAACTCGACGGATTCCTTCACGGATCTGCAAACCCTAGAGACGTGGTTCAGTGCCATTAGAGGGGTACTTTCGTCCTTTTCCTTCTCTACTTCGTTCTGCATCTCTCTTCTTCTTTTCTTTTTTTCTTTTTTTTTTTTTTTTTGTTTCCTGTGACGGAAAATGAAACGCCATCGGATTGGGATATTTTTCATTTATGAGCTGCGGCGGTGGGCGGCGGCGGCGGCGAAGGAATTGTGGAGATGACGCGTGGTGCTACGTGTTGGCTTTACCTCCTGCATGATAATAATGCATGCACGTGACTAGTAATAAAACCAATAATATATTGGGTAAATTACAAACACCCCCGAGGTATGGTCAAATTACAAAAATCCCCCTCTTGTTTGGATAATTACATCTACCCCTCAACTATGATTTTTTCTTACACCTCCACCCTTATGGTGCAAAATTCAACATAATCATCTAGATTCCGTGAAATTTGCTCTAGGTTGTACTCGATTTGTGTAAAAATACAGTTTCCGATGCACCAAAAACTGATATATACAAGTTAAAAGTCACATATTATGATCATCGTGCTTAATAAAGTAGAGTTTGAATGAGATAAAACGGGTACAAAAGTGATAATATTCCATATAATCTCGAAGATTTCACTAAATTTGAGGAGTTGAGGGGTGGTTGTAATTATCCAAACAAGAGGGGTGTTTTTGTAATTTGACCATACCTCAGGGTGGAGTTTGTAATTTACCCTAATATATTTTCAGGAGTAAACTGCAAAAAGTACCCCTGTGTAATTTCAAACTAGCAAAAAACCCCCTATGATAAATAAACTAGCAAAAACCCCCCTATGAAATTTTGTTAAAGGCAAAAACCCCCCTAGTGCATTTTCGTGTTGCACACTCGCCGAGTGTGCAGCTGGTGAAGATTTTTTAGACCTGAAATTACATAATTACCCCCAAATTTTATTAATATGTAATTTCATGATTTTTAGGGTTACACAAACCTTAATCTCCATCTTCCCAACTTCAATTCAACCGGCCTCCTCCCACCACCGCAGCACAGCCTCCACCGTCGGCTGCTCCGCTGTGCTGCTCTACAATAGACGCCGCGCGAAGTCCAGGATCGAGCACTTCGTGAGGACGAACAAAGGCGCTGACGATCGGAGGAGCTTCCGGACTCTGATCTAGAAGCCCTCTTCGGCGGCGGCGGCGGCAATTGGAGCCTAGCGGAGCCCTACAACCCCGATTACAAACTGGCGTTCGAGCCTTTGTTCACCACATATCACATATGCGTTCGTGTTCAACGGATTTTGTGGATTTTTTTTTTATTTTCTTTTTTGGTGTTGTTGCTAGGTTTGAAGAAACAAAACTAGCTTCTTTCCCATTGTTTTTAATTTTTGTTTTGTTTGGTTTTGGATCTTGACAAAAAAAATAGATAGAATTTTCTAGTTTGTTTTTGCTGGTTGGGATTCAATAATTAAGTGGGAAGACGATGGAGATGGCATCGGGATTCAAATCGTTGAAGATGATGATGATTCGATTTTTTTTTTTTTTTTTTTTTTTTTTTTGATTTTCTTGACTTTTTCTGATTATTAAAAATTTAGTATACAAATTAAATGGAAATATTATATTAAAAAAAAAAAAATCATCAATAAACATATAAATAATATTGGAATTTTTTTTTCTTTAACATAATTTTAGTGTATGAATAATTTAAAAGTTATAAAGAAATTATATTATAATTTTAAAAATAAAAAAACCCCTTTCCATTTTTTTAAGGAAAAGATATAACAAAAATAAAATTAGTTTTTATCAGTATAAAAAAATAAAATAGTTAGAACATTAGAAAGTAAGAATTTAAATATCTCATTTAAATATTTTACTTCAAATAAAAAAAAAAAGAATTTAAATATCTCATTTGTGCTTTTTTAATACTATAAAAATAGACATTTCACAGGGGTTTTTTTGTCTATTTACACAAGGTCAGCCCTTAAATTGATAGTGGGTCAAGTGTGCTATTTAAAAAAAAACACAGGGGGGTTTTTGCTAATTTATTTATCACAGGGGGGTTTTTGCTATTTTGAGATTACACAGGGGTACCTTTTGCAGTTTACTCATATTTTCAGGGGAAAAATACTTTTCACCCCCTAAAAAAGTTTAGTTTTTGCACTAACCCCCCTACAAAAACAAAACTATTGAGAACTCCCCGTTTGAAAATACAGAGGTTTTATTAATAATATGAATAATTAATATTAAATTATATATGATGATGCTAAAATATAGCTCACCGGAGTAGTATGGAAAACGAGCTGGGAGAGCAAAGCTGATCAGTAGCTAGTCAACTCGATGATCCTGAGGTCCCTACAAAATGAGCACGCGTGAACTAAGCCGGGGGTTGATCCGGCGGAAACCCCTCCGACGCTCAAGTCAGACGTACGGATCGTAGAGATAGTTGAGAGAATAAACTCGAGATTGATTGTGAATAATTAGAACGTACCTTTACGAATGAGTAAAACATCTATTTATATATCGTTGAATGGGTTGGGCTTACTTTGTTGGGCCCAAGCCTTATTTTGAAGGAGCTTGGGCTTTCGTGTAATGGACCCACATGTATGTGATTGGGCTTTCGTGTAGTGGGCCCAATTGGTAGATAAATTTGAGGGCCCATTGGGCCGGCCCATTTAGGTATATCAATATACTAATTTATTTATGCCTCTTAAATTGTGGCACGTGTTCCATCAACACAATTAATTTTTTAATGATATGTGTATTGTCTAAAACTCCTTTATTACAAATATTTAATATTTTTTAAAGTTTGAATTGAATTGTAAATCGTAAGATTTGAATCAATTAAGTTCATGTGTTTTCAATTCGAAAACAATATTCAAAGATTTAAAACGATTAAGCTCGTGTCATTTTAATTCGTAGACAATATTCAAATATTTGAATCAGTTAAACTCAACAATTTACAATAACGTATTAATCGAAGTAACTATGTATAGTTAAAGTTTATTATTTTTTTATTCAATTTATCATAAAAAGAATAAAATTTAATTCGTAAAAATCGTAAGATTTAATCGATTCAAATATTATGGTTAGATTAAATCTTACGATTTACGATTTGATTCTTACAATTTTTACGAATTAAATTTATTTCATTTTTATTAAAATTGAATTAAAATAATCTTAGACTTTAATTATAAATAGTTAACTCGATTAATGCGTTCTTGTCAATAGTTGAACTTAATCGTTTCAAATCTTTAAAACATATTTACAAATTGAACGGACTTGAGCTTAATCGATTCAAGTCTTACTATTTGATTCTTACGTTTACGTATGTCGGGAATTAAATTTATTATTTTTTATGATAAAATTGAATTAAAAAGATATTAGACTTTAATTATAAATAATTACTTCAATTAATACGTTGTTGTCAATTATTAAGCTTCATTGATTCAAATCGTTGATTAACGTTTACTAATTGAAAGAATTTGAGCTTAATCAATCAAATCTTACTATTTGACAAAACTTTCCGTCCGAGAAGCATAATCCTCCTGTCGAAACAGGGATGAACAGGAATCGGTGAAACGACGCGGTCGAGATTTTTTTTTTTTTTCTCTTTTTTTAAGGTTTTAGAACCCCTACCAAGAATTGGGTGCATGTGTGTGTGTATTTTTTAATTAGATTAATAATTACAATTATGCACACATGATATAATTTGACATATTTCGAACCATATTTGTATAAATTAAGGACAAAACAATATGTGACTATTTGTACCTAATATAGTTTGGGGAAAGATAACTTTCAAGCCAACTAAAATTTCTATGAGTGCAAATATTAATTAGTATGAAAAATATCAAAAAAGTTAATAAGAATAATAAATCATCAAATTAACAATTTAATTAACACGTTGTCACGGTGAGTTGGGACCTGAAAAAGTTATTATTTGGGCGATGTTATTAATTTATCGAACCTCTAGCAGCTAGTATTAATATATATACACATGTAGAATGAAATTTTAGTTGGTGAATTTAAATAAAATGAATCAAACTATGGCCAAAATCTTCCCATTTCATTAAATACAAAGTTGATGAGGTTTCAATATGATCTGATCATCCCCTTCTTCCTCTTGATCACATAACTTCGTCAACTTCCGATACTCCGCCGTTTCTCGAGGGTACAACTTGACCAGCACCAAGTACAAACACATCGTGAAAACCGTCAACAAAATCAAGTACAACCCAAACTCAATATTCACCAACGCTTTAGCCCGCTCCAAAGCCGCCCCATCACCGCCACAAACGACACCCTCCCGCCCCATCTCCGCACTCATAAAACACCCCTCCGGCATCAATTTCTCCGTCCACAACATAACCCCCGTGACAACTAACCAAACACCTTCCAAAATTACCGAAAACGCCCTCACAAACGAAACCAAGAAACTCCTAGCGTAACCAATAGACAATAGGGTTGCAATTAGGGTTACGAACGTAACAATTTGGAGCAGCCAATGGTACTGCCCTTCGACTCCCGTATGATCGGTCGAATGAAGGTGCAGTATCAGAAGCTGCTGCCCGAATGCAACGGCCTGGAGAAAATGGGCCAGGCCGTTTCGGGTCGACCCGTTTTGAACCGGGTCGACCCGGGAAAATTTGTCTAGAAGGATGGCGAAAAGGGCGTAGAAGAAGAAAGAGAGGGCTATGATGGAGTGCTCTAAGTGGGGGAGATTCTTGGAAGGGATTGGTTGGTAGGGAGATGCGATGAATAATATTATCGGTTGTTTTCGATTGAAGACGAGCTCCATTGAAACGAATACCGTCGTGACCAACATAATCGCGACGGGCTCTAAGTATTTGAGTGATGGTCTTGAAAGAGGGAACCATGGTGAAATGTGGTAAGATCTTGGGTTAAGTGAATGGAGTTTTATGGTGTTGAAGAGATGCCAAACTCCTATGATCAAGAATGCTAACCCTAGTGACACGTGGCCTGATGTTTCTCCCATGTATGTTGTTTAATTTTGTGGGTTGATAACTTGATATTATGTATGTGTGTATATATATACATAGTGTGTGTGTGTGTGTGTGTGTGTGTGTGTGTGTGTGTGTGTGTGTGTGTGTGTGTGTGTGTGCGTGTGTGTGTGTTTTAGAGACCAATGAGGAGTATAGAATTTGCATTCTTGATCATCTTGCCTTGTACTGAAAAATGATGAGTTACTCTAGAGAAAGAGGAACTTTGTGTCAAAGAAAAGGGTAACTTAAAGAAAGGAGTTACGTTTCATTGCTATATAGTGAAGAAATATATTTAATGAAATTTATATAAAATTTTGAAGTGTTCTCCTAGTTTATATTTTAAAAAGAAAAAAAGTTGTGTTCTAGTAGTAATTTCTATTTATCAACCCGCTTAATTTATATTGACGGGTCCCAGTCCAACAAGATCCAAATCAATACGCTCTGGTTGGATTAGACCTAAGAATATAATTAAAGAGATGCGACCACACATCGAATTTCTATTGTTCGGGAGACTATAAATATCCCTGCTTCGATTATCCAAGAGATCTCTTGACCTTAAATTCACAATTATAAATATCCTCACTTTGATCATCCAAGAGATAAAAGCTTAATAGTTTACAAACATCTAAGTTATTTTTGTTTGTAATATTTGAGTAGGGTATTGGAGGGAAATCGTTGGATCAATTCGAAAAGTTTCGAATTCCAATTTTCTTTAGGACGAAATTGGATTTCACTTTAGATTCCGATTTTTTTATTACTTCAAAATCCAATTTACTTTAGAACGAAATTGGATATCACTTTAGATTCTGATTTTTGGATTAGTTCAGAAAGTTTCGAATTCTAATTTAATTTAGAACGAAATTGGACTTCACATTAGATTCCGATTTTTTAAAACATGTAAAATTCAAATTATTTCCAAAAAAAATATAATTAAAATGTTTTTTTTATTAAAATTTTCAAACTTCCAATTTTCTGTATACTTTTGAAACAGAATTGTAATTAGTTTTCCACTTTAACAAAATGGAATTTTCCAAAAATATTAATTCGATCTATCCAATTTCCACCCCTAAACGGTTCTCAAAGTGATTGATAAGTTAATACAAAATTACGAAGAACCAACTTTGTCAACTTTTTGGACATGAACGTAATTTGTTCAAAGTCTATGGGCTTAGTTGTAATTACACTAATTTCAGACGGTAATAACAAAAATCGTTAGAAAAATAAAGAGAATCAACGACTGCAACGGTCAGATGCCGAAGAAAGCACAGCTCCCAAATCCATGGCGATGATGTTGTCAAGAGCATTCAAATCGCTGAAACCCCATTCAAATTACGATCCTACCCTTCTCCCCTTTCCCATCCCACCAGAGAAATCGTCGCAAATCCCATCTCGAATTTCGCCCAAATCATCGCCGACGACCAAACCCTCGTCGTCGATTTCAATTTCGTCGCCGCCGAGGAATTCATGGACCGTGTATCTAATCGTCTCCACCAATCCGCCGATCAAAACTTATGTCGGCGCCACAAACAATTTCTCTCGCCGGTAAATTAGTGTGTGTGTGTGTGTGTGTGTGTGTGTGTGATTTCATACTTGTTTGGTAATCGAAGCCTGACAAAATCAAAATTGGGATTTCGAATATAATATTTTTCATTTCATTAATGTGATTCAATTTTTTTTTTTCAATTCAACCATATGTGTGTGTGTGTGTGTGTGTGTGTGTGTGTGTGTGTGTGTGTGTGTGTGTGTGTGTGTAGTTATATACTAAGACCATGATTAGTAAGTGTGGCGAATCGAATCGAAGTAGTATCTTTCGTCCAATTCCGAATTTCGAAGTAATTACATTGTATCGAAATTTTCTTACTTGCAAATATTTGTCAAATTATCATGTGTTCGAGTGTGGATGCGAGCGCTTGTGTATCGTAATTAAAGTTGGCTACTTTGATAAAATCGTCAAGTAGTATATCTCGTTTTAGTATATTGGTATTGGTCGATTCTAGAGTCTTGATTGTTTGGTTTTATGCATAGAGGAGATACGATGTTTCTTATCTTTTTTCCGTAGGTTGAAACAACACAACGGTGAACTAAAAGGTGGTGCAAAAGCATCTCGTGCAGGAAGGCCGTGGATTTGTGCTTGTCTTGTACAAGGATTTACGAACAAAAGTAAAGGTAATTAGAAGAAAGAAAAAAAAAAAAAAAAAAAAAGGATATCTTTGTGCTGCAATAATTTTTTCATCTTTCAAATTGGCATTCTTAGAACCTCGATAAATTAGTAACCTTGTTTAAATAATAATTTCTCTCGGTCCCGACTCGATAAAAAAACGTATTAAATTATTAGTTCGATAATTTAATATTTCGCTGAATTAATAGAATTTTGCTTGTCCCAACTGTATTAATTTATAGAGGTTTTTTTTTTTTTTTTTGAGTAACTGTATATTAAAAATGCAGTCTTTTATACAGTCGGGTCATAAAATGTTAATTTGGTAACGAAATAATTCTAAAAACTAGTGCTCTATCGTCTCTGCCTTCGTTTACTGTACTAGTTTATGTTATTTACGGCATTCAATCCATTTTTAAGCAAATCAAGAAGTGGCAATTAGCTCCGAAACGCCTTTGTCTAACTTATTTGCATGTCCATATTCGATCTAATTTCTCGATTTACGAGCCTATGAGAAAGCACGACTTCTAACGGCGCTTTTGATCTATATAATTAAAGGGCCTCGAGTTTGTGTTATTTCGATAAAAGGGTTTCTAAATTTAATTTACTGGAATGCCATTCTTGAAACTATATACAAATTTTGATACATTTAATTTCATATTTTAAATTAATATTTGTCATCAAGAGTTTTTCTAGTGTTCGATCGTTTATCTTACTCCGTCTGTATTGCCTTTTTTTTTTTTTTGTAGCTTATGTGTTTGAATCGAAATGGAAAACCGTTTCAAGAAAATCGCCCCGAAAACGTAGTAGCCAAAAAACAGAGCAAACTGATAGTAATCCACAGCTATTACTATTACAACACAGATATGCAGCTCTAAATAAAGTCAAGGATTTAGTTGACTGTGGTCATCTGGAAATCGAGTGGCGCTTAGATCCTACGTAATCGATCCACTGTGTGAGTCTACTCTATAAATCCAAATTAAATGATTTTTTTATTTTTTATTTTGTCTATTTCAATTATTGTTGTGCTGATTTTTGCAGGGAAAAGAACAGAGGTCTCACTGAACGACTAAGTTCGATTTACAGTTACCATTACTACAGGTAAAAAAAATCGATTTATCCGATACTTAGTAGGTGTGAAACAACGGATGGTTCAGATCCCACTTTTCGAAACTCGGATCGGAAATGGAACTTGAATGATTTATAGTACTAATTAGTGATGGATTAATCAGATCAGTTGGTTAGTGTTAGTAAACATATTTATATTAACTAATAAAGTATAGTGAAAACTTGAGAGAAAAAATTATGTGAATGTATTGATAAATCTGTAAATTTATGGATGAAATTTTAGAAATTCTTCATTTGTTAATTTTTTTTTTTTTTTTACTATTTTTTTTTTTTGTCTAGCTCATAACTTAGCTTCTATGATTGTTTGCGATTATTTCTAGGGACTTATTTATTCATAATAATTTCAAATTTTGTAGGTTTTATTTTAAAATGTCTAAAAAAATAATAAAAGCAATATATTTTGAATAAATAAGGCATATTAGAAAGATTCCAAGATAGCTGCTTCTCTATTTCTTTTTTCATTTTTTTATATTATTATTTTATTATTATTCAAGTGGGAACTGCGGGAAATACGGCGAAAAGTTGATGAAAAAGAATCCTCGAGTTAAGAAATGAGTATCCCCTTTATATAATTTTGTCAAAATCTAATTTATAATCCCAATGCGATTTGCGCATTACTACTAATTTACCACAAATTAAAAAATAAAAAGTGGAGTCAAAAAGTATATTCCTTTTTTAACAGAGGAACCAAAAAGTGCTAACTGGCTGTAACAATCATAGTTCTATCATTCAATCGGCCAACAATTTTTTTTTATTAATGATAAAAAACTTTAGAAAGTCGTAACTTGGTGCAATGTTCTAGAATCGAGTAGTCGAATTTCAAATTCAATGCGAGTTGGTTCCTTGTGGGCACCAGGCCTAGATCCGCTACTCTGATGGGCCGTCTATAAAAAGTGTATCGAACCAGCGGATAGTTGCTCTTGACAAAGAATTTCGTCTTTTGATGCAAGAAACTTACGATATTAGACATTAAATGTTGCCTCAATGTAAAGGCACTAGATGCGATACGTAATTGTCCATGTTTTGTTAAGATCAACTTGGACGAGTTAAAAATAATTAATTAATTAATATATATATATATATATATATATAATAAAATATAAGGGATTGAAAAGATTATTGTACCAAGAAAGAAATTTGAAGGCCACCAAAAAAAACACATCAATTTACATGTTGAAAATGGGAAAATCCTTTGAAACGCAGTAACTTCAATTGAAAAAAATTGAAATATAATCCATCAGTTTGGTATGTCCAATATTTCAACTTACTTTTCCCCTTGCACAGACACTTCTAGAAGGTGAAAAGTCCCCGTATCCGACACGTGGACACTCGGACATACCCAGACACTTCTCGGACACCCGTGTCGGGCTGTGTCGTAATTTTGCTAAAAGTAGGACACCTGTGTCGGACAGTGTCCACAATTTTAAAAAAACTTGGGACACTTCTCTTACGTTTTAAGAGAGAGCCCTAATAAAAAAAATGCGCATTTTTTTTTCTCTCTAATACACATTTCCTCTGTTTTCTTTGTGAGTCCACCCAAAACTCCAAAAGTCTAGCCTGCGACGGCGACCAAGAACACTTGCAACAAGGGCGAGCGGTTCTCTTCTGCGATGACGACTTATACATATTTTTTACAATTTATAAATGCACCCCTCTATTTTATTATTTATAAATATACCCCTATATTTTTTAATATTTATGCGTATCCCCACGTATCCGTATCCTAATTTTTTGGAAATGCCATATCACCGTGTCCGTATCTACGTATCGTCGTGTCCACGTATCCATGTCCGTGCAGCATGAGTTTTCCCTTTACTTATAATTAACTAATAATATTTTTTTCATTCCAATTCAAATTCCTTGTGTTCAACTTCAATCTATGACTATATGTGATAGGAGCAATATTGAGAAATCAGTAATTAATACATCTTTAAAATTCCACGTGTAAGAGAAAAATCTTGTTTATTTGGAACGAGTAAAGTAGTTAAAAATCATTGTCTTTTCAAATGCTATTGTTCAACTAATTTAAATTAGTTGACTGACACAAGTGATTTAAATTAGTTGATTCAAAAGAAAAGAGACAATTGTGACTAAAATCAATCAGACTCGATTGACTTGTTATGATAAATTTGTCATAATTTTTTTTTGGATTAAAAGATATATAAAAAATCAAAAAAACAAAAATCTAGAAACGCTTCGATTTGTTTTTGTTTTTGTTTTTTTTTTAATTGAAAAATGGAACTTTGTGCAACCTAGTATAACTTGTATCTTATTTTACCTTAGAATTTAGAGTAAATAACACTTACCTCCTGTAGTTTGAACTTTATGCAGATGATCCTCTAATACTTTCAATATAGTACATAACTTCCTTATATTTTATATATAAAGTTATAAACACATATCCCTCTTGATCTTTTCTAATAAGCACGATTATGTACCAAGTGGAATAGGGTAGTTATGTGCATAAAATTCAAATTACAGGATTCATGTGCTGAAATTTAAAGTAATAGGGGTCAATGTGCACAAAGTTAAAACTACATGGATTGAAGTGCTATTATACATTTGAATTTTATTTTGACTCTCGAGTCTTGAACAGCAACTTCTAACCAAAATATTTTCAGTCATTTGGAAGTCTCTTTACGGTAGTGGTCAACCCCAGTCAACTCTCTCTCTCTCTCTCTCTCTCATCTCTCTCTCCTCCATTTATACAACTGAGTTCACACACACTCACAAAAGCAATATATACTTGAATCCAACATCACTCCACAATCAAATAAAACAATAATAAAATTCAGAAAAGAAATAAAAATAAAATCTTGATGATGGGTTATCTCTCATGTAAAGCAGAATCATCAATCTCCACCGCCGACCACCACCACCACCGCCGCCGCCCGGAAAAAGAACCAACAGAAAAAAAACCCACCAAAAAATTCCAAGAATTCAGCTACAAAGACCTCGAATCAGCCACAAACAACTTCTCCCAAACGAAACTCCTCGGCCGGGGTAGCCACGGCCTCGTCTACAAGGGCGTCCTCCCCTCCGGCCGCCACGTCGCCGTTAAGAAACCCTCCCGAACCACCACCACCGCCGCCGCAAGAACCCCCATCTCCGGCGACCACAGCAACCCGAACGAAGTCGACAACGAAATCGAAATCTTGTCCAATCTCCACAGCCCGAGATTAGTCAATCTCATCGGCTTCACAAAATCCGACCACCACAAAGATCGCCTTTTAGTTGTCGAATTCATGAGCAACGGCACTCTTTACGATGTTCTTCATTCAAATTCAAATTCACGGCCGCCGCCGCCCAATTGGGGCCGGAGAATTAAGCTTGCCCTTCAAACCGCGAAAGCAATCGAAACCCTCCATTCGTCGAACCCGCCCGTAATCCATCGGGATATAAAGTCCGCCAACGTTTTGATCGACAGCAATTTCGACGCGAAACTAGGCGATTTTGGATTGGCGCTACGATGCGTGGATGATCATAAACTAAGATCAACTCCGCCCGCCGGAACAATGGGGTATTTGGATCCGTGTTACTTAACCCCCGATAACTTGAGCACGAAAACCGACGTTTTTAGTTTCGGCATTTTGCTTTTGGAGATCATTAGCGGGAGGAAAGCGATCGACGTTTTCTACTCTCCGCCATCGATGTTGGATTGGGCGATTCCGTTGATTCGGAGAGGGAAGTTTTTGTCCATATACGATCCGAGGGTTGTGCCGCCGAAGGACGGCTCCGTGAGGAAGATGCTAGCGGTGGTGGCGGCGAAATGCGTGAGGACTTCTAGAGAGAGAAGGCCGGTCGGATTAGTAATGGGAATACTAGGAGAGTGCATTCGGAATTAGGGTTGCGGAGTAATTTGATGGAGTTAATGTCCGGCCCTAATGGCGAGTCTAGGTTTCTTGTTTAAAGTTCGCTTCGCGAGAATTTACCGATTAAATTTTGGAATATTCGAAATGATGATATTATATTATTGAAGATTTTTAAATGTGTGATATTTTTTAAATTGAAATTGCCCTTTTGTGTTGTATTGTGGGTGCACCACTAGTGCATTATATTAGACATGTTTGTTTTTTTTTTTTTTTTTTTTTGAATAAAATAGATTATATTAGGCAACATAAGCCAACTGAAGGGGGAGGGAGCTACCCTCAGACATAGCGAGATTCATGGATGAAGCCAATCCATGTGCTAGCTTATTACAGATACGTGGAACAAATAAGAATTGGCAAGAAACAAAAGACAATGCCAGAGAACGAATATCATCTGAGAAAGCACCAAACGAACATAAGGAAGATTCATCTTCATTAAGAGCCATAATGAGTTGGCGGCAATCACCCTCAATGATTATTGTCTGCCAGCCCTTTGAACGGGCAGTCTGGATTGCTGCGAGGGCGGCATGAGCTTCTCCTTCGACTGCTTGAACATTACCGGGGATTGTGGAGACCCTCCACCAGATTGTAGTGCCCTCGGAGTTACGGGCCACCATCGAGATTCTATAATACGCCTGGCCTGGTGGAATTGCGGCATCAAAGTTAATCTTCACGATTCCACTTGGCGGCGGGGTCCACTTCACCTGCGTAGCTGGGTTTTTGGTAATAGTCTGCTCGAAGCATGCTGCACGGAATATGTGAAGGTAGTCCTCGCTCCAACTCCTCAACTCGCTCCCTCGCTGGCCCGCCTCCCCATGAGCTTCCCGGTTTCTCGAGTCCCACGCTTTCCAGCAGATGACCATAGCAAGGCAGAATAACTCTCGAGATAGTTTTTTTCGAAGCCCATCGACCCAACTTCGAAAGGAGATTGGTTCTATCGTAGGATCTAGATGAAAAGGATGACTTTGCCAGACATCGGGCAGCCCTCTACACCCAATCAAAGCGTGTGTGGTTGTTTCTGTAGTGGTTCCACACAACGCACAAAACGGGTTCATTGTAATATGCCTGCGGAATAGAGCGACTTTGGTCGGAATAATATCCCAGACCGCCCTCCACACAAATATTTTGACTTTTGGTGGAATACTCGAATGCCAAAGGTATTTCCACAGGTCCTTAGCTTCGTTATTCGACGACGTTCCAAGAGGATGAATTTCGGTTGATGTACAGCGGCGAGTCATAATGTTGTGGTAGCACGACTTCACTGTGAACTTGCCGGAGCGGGAATAGTGCCACACAAGCCGATCCTTGGCCAAACTACTACCGATCGGGATAGCTAGGATTCTAGAGTGGTCTACAGGCCAAAAGGTGTCGTAAATCAGTTCCAGGTTCCACGTTCGCGAGTCAGTCCAAATAAGATCCGATACCTTATCTGGGAAAGCCGAGGAGAATGGGCGGCGGGTGATAATATGAAAATTACCGTCATCATTTAACCACGGGTCACCCCAAATGGACGAGTCGACTCCATTACCAATGCGGACCCGACAGCCCTCTTGAACGTGCGGGCGGGCGAACGTCAGGCTACGCCACGTAGCTGACGGTCGGTGACCGAGTGGCGCCGACCAGAAATTGCCGGCTGGGAAATATCTTGCTCGGAGAAGTTTAGAGAGAAGAAGATCAGGACGCGTAAGCACTCTCCAAGCTTGCTTCGCGAGCATTGCAAGATTAAATGATCGGAGATGTCTGAATCCCATTCCACCTCTTTCCTTTGGTTCGCAGAGTTTATTCCATGAAGTCCAAGCCATTGATCTAGGCTTCCCGTTGCTCCACCAAAAACGTTGTATCGCTGATTCAATATCCTGGATCAGACCAAGAGGGAGACTAAAGCAGCTCATAAGGTAAGACGGGATCGCTTGGAGAACGGCTTTAATAAGTATTTCTTTGCCTCCTTTCGAGAGTTGCTTTTCGCCCCAGCCATCGATTCGCGCCCAAACACGGTCGCGTAGAAATTCAAAAATGGCCCGCTTCGATTTCCCCAATGTTAACGGCATTCCGAGATATTTTTCATGGCGTTCCACTATCGCAAACCCCAAAATGGTCTGAATCGCGTTCTTTGTGCCGTGTGGCGTCGTAGGGCAGAAACTCATAGTCGACTTCTCGAGGTTAACCACTTGTCCCGATGCAGCTGCATAATCTTGGAGAATTCGATGGAGAGTGTGGGCATTGTCCGGTGTGGCCTTACAGAACACTAGAGTATCGTCGGCGAAGCATAGGCATGAGACGCTTGGCGCCATTGGAGCAATAACAATTCCGTGGAGTGAGCTTGACTCCTCGGCCTGGTGAATCATCGCAACGAGGGCTTCCGTGCATAAAATAAACAAGTAGGGGGAAAGTGGGTCTCCCTGCCTAAGCCCTCGAGACGGCTGCAACGAACCGAACTGGCAGCCATTAAAGAGAAAGGCATAAGAAACTGAAGAAACACATAACATAATAAGATCAACTAAAGATGTGGGGAAACCGAAGCGACAAAGAATTTTTCGTAAGAAAGACCATTCGATCCGATCGTACGCTTTACTGATATCCAATTTAGCCGTCATATAATGTGTTTTCTTTCTAGAATTAGTTTTAATAAAGTGATTCACTTCATAAGCTACAAGGACATTATCGGTAATGAGACGATTGGGTACAAAAGCTGATTGGGTGGGAGATATGATATTCTGGAGAAAGGGTTTTATACGGTTAGCAATAGTTTTCGACCCAAACTTGTAAATGACGTTACACAGGCTAATTGGCCGATATTCGCTGATCTTTTCTGGATTTTTCACCTTAGGAATAAGGACAATGAAAGTGAAATTCATTTTGCTCGGCAATTTTTTGTGATTGAGAAAATCAAGCACACAGTTAAGCACATTAGACCCAAGAACACTCCAATACTTAGTAAAGAATAAGACAGGAAAACCATCCGGGCCCGGGGCATTAGAGGGAGACATTTGGGATATTGCTCGGGTTACCTCGTCCGCAGTGAAGGGTAGAGAGAGTAACTGGTGGGCCGCGTGAGATATCCTCGGATCAATGTGTTGTGCCACGCTCTCAATCACACTCTCATCCGGGAGGTTGGACTGAAAGATCGAGGAGAAGTAATTCGCAATCACCTGCTCAATATTAGCTTTGCTCTCTTGCCATACCCCTAAATCGTCTTTGATCTTATAGACCCAATTTGTCCGTTTTCTAATTGTGGCCTTCGCGTGGAAAAACCCAGTATTGCGGTCTCCTTCCTTCATCCATTGGATCCGACTCCGTTGTTTCCAATAAGTATCAAGATCTTGGTACAAGTGTTCGAGTTCTGTCTGGAGAATACTCCTTTTGGCATTGCTCTCCACCGTTCGTGTTCCCGTGCTCAACTGGTGAATTTGTTTATGAATCTCCGAAATCCTTTTCCTAGGGTTAGGCAGACTTGTCTTACTCCAATGGATGAGAGCTGTTTTGCAGCTCTCCGACTTAGAGAGCAGATCATCAATAGGGTCCCACTCAAGTGGCTCGGACCATTGCTGTTGGATAATTTTGTCGCACTCTTCTCTACGAATCCACATAGCTTCAAACCGGAAAGGTCTTCCATGTCGTTCAGCTCTATGGGCCGCCGTATTTTGTAACTTTAGAAGAATCGGGACGTGGTCGGACCCAACAAATTCCATATGCTCGACTTGGGCTAATGGAAACAAACTCCGCCAACTATTATTGCCGCACACCCTGTCAAGTCTACACCTGACCGTGAAGGGGGCCTCCCGTCCGTTCGACCATGTGAAGGGGGATCCAGTGTAACCTAAATCTGAGAGGTGGCAGTCGCCTAACGCCGATTGAAAATCCAGAATCGCTGAGGTGGCTCTCGGATTGCCTCCACTCTTCTCCACTTGTGTGGTAATCTCGTTGAAATCTCCGCCAACTACCCATGGAAGGTCTCTCTGGTCGCCGATTGTTCTCATTAAGTTCCATGTAAGGTGTCGTCTATCTTTTTCTGGGTAGCCGTAAATGCCCGTAAACCGCCATTTGTCATTGGCATGGCTAGTCATTATCTCTGCATCTATATGGTTGCTTGATAGGGAGATAAGGTCAATTTGGACGTGCTTCTGCCAAAGAAGAGCGAGTCCCCCCGACTTTCCCCGTTTGTCCACTGCCACACCAAATAAATTCCATTTTTTCTTCAGTCGTTCGACCAAATGTGATGTCGCTTTTGTTTCCGAGAGAAACACCACAAGGGGGTGGTAAATTCGGAGCATATCTCCGAGTGAGTGAATTGTCAAGGGCACCCCCAACCCCCGACAATTCCAAAATAGGCAACTCATTGGGCTCGGCGGGACTGCGATGCAGTCTCCGCCGTTGAGCTTGTGTCTTCTTCTCTTGAATACAGATCCAATTTGTGGTTGAAGCGAATAAGAAATTTGTTCATGGCCACCGGCAAGATTTCACATCCTTTGACCGGCTGGAGGACGCGGAGTACATTAGACTTAATCGTTTGAAATGAAATCTCCCTATCTGATATCACTCTCCCTACCAGCCGCCGTTCCATCCTTAAAACCCTAGGCACCCAATTCCCTAGATCCAGAACCAAGTCCTCTTCCTCCTCTGAAGTGAGTGTGAATCCTTTTTCCATCGATTTTGTGAGTCCTTCCATTGAGATCGAGATAGTGTGATTGAGAGGTGCGAGCCTCGATCGTAAGATATCTAACCCGGCGCCGCCAGATCCTGAATAATGAAGACAGAAGGTGAATGATAGGTAGGGTTACGATAAAAAAACCAAGGAAGAGCAGACGAGTCAAAACAAAGAAAAGCGGCTGTAGAAAGAAGGAGACGAAATTAATTCAAACCCTAGAAAAAGAAAAAACTAATCAGACAATATGGATAAGTAAACCGTGCGATCGATTCTCAGTGGAACAATCTAACGATGAAAACTCTAGATGATCCCAATGGGAATCGAGAATTCAAAAACTCAAAAACTGCCGCCTCTCATGCTGAGAGAATAGGGCCTCTCATGCTGAGAGAATTTTCGAACAATCTATTAGACATGTTTGTTCTTTCATTCTTTAAAGCTAATGATGAATAATTGCAATTATGCTTTAGTTGTTGTAATATAACTATAATTGTAAGCCACTTTTTGTAGTAAAAGTTTGAGTTTCTTTGGTTTAATTTTTGATTTATTGTTTCATATTAATAAAGATTTTTCTTTTTTAAATACTTAATAATCATTGAATGTGTGAGAAGATATCATGTTGAAAATGTTGGCCTTGATTTGGTATTACTAATAGTCTAATAGGCAAATCAAAGTATTTGAATATTATTGAATTTACAACTTATTCTAGAAACCTCCAAAATAGTTTATCCAAAACTCTTTACAACTCAAATTTATGAAATTTCTACATTTAAAAGCAAATCCATAACTATATTGATCATAATTTTCCCATACGAAATTCAATCGTACTGATTCAAATTGTATTAGAAAATCCATGAAAAAATCTAAAACTTTCTTGCATCTTCTAATATTTAATTTTGATCGGGGTAAAAAATTGTGTATCCCAAACAACGATTGACTTGATTCAAGTTGCATGCTGAAGTTTACAAATGGCCTCAAACTTCATGTTTTTTTTCTTCTTTTTTTCTTCAAATTAAATCATAGTTAATAATTACAATTAAATAAACTAACATGTTATTTCGATCATAATTTTTTCATAAAAGAATCTAAAAAAAAAAGAATAAATCATGATGAAATTCCTATAGATAAAATCTAAAAAAAATTCAATTATTTAATTATTCTATTTTTCCCATTGGTGTCCCTCGGCTAAACACACAGCC